GGGGGGGGGCAGGAAAGGGTTCGCCGACTGACTAGAGATGAGGCGTAAGCGAATGTAATCGAGCCGAGGCGGCTCAGGCGCAACGTGGCGGCGAGGCTACTGCTAGAAATGTACTTCTCCACCCGACATGACTTAAAAGACCACAAACGAACGGTCCGTTATCTGGAGGTTACAGAAGAGACCGGAAATTTTGAACACAAGAGCACGTCTACACAAAAGTTTCGAAACTAAATGGAACTGAAATTTGCTCACCTGAACATGATTCGTTTGTTAACGTGCGTTCGAAACTAGCACAAAAAAAGTTTGGGCATAAGAAAAACAAAAGAAATGGAAAGGAGAGTACTTGATGGAGACTTGCAGCCCGTACCCTCAAATGACTGCACTTGGGTAAAAGTTACCAGTGCTAAGATGTAACTAGAATTTTCCAGGGTATTAGGCCTAATGCGCATAATCAGCTGATGCCAGTGCCGCTGCCTGCATGGGCAAAAAACATATTTCCTCCCTCAAGAAATGAAAAAAAAAATTCGAGCCCGTAATTAGTTACCAGGAGCTTGACACAAGTAGCACGTCAACGGCAACCGCAGCAGTCAGGTCATCCATCAATCGCGAATAAAAGAAAATATGATGGACAAAAGGAAAAGCAAGAGAAAAAATTAACTGGGATGGAGAGCACGACGTCAGGTCCAACACTTAAAAAAGTCAAAAGCAGACCATTAAGGGAAAATGAAGATCGAGGAAACCGTAACAAACAGAAGGAAGAGGCACAAAACACTATATTTGTAAGTAACTAAATTTAAATAGACAGCATGCCATATGCCAACGCCAGGCGACACCCAGGACCAATCTATATTGATAATTATAAATGCGAGCAAATTATTGCCGCGATTATAATCCAGGCCAGGCCGTTTGCTTACGACAGTAAGTTATTCCTCCACGGCAGCGGAATCAATACTCTGATAGCTGCCACGTGGTGCGAGGACCCCGCCCCTCCCCATACCCCCACCGCCTTGCGCACTCAATATACTAAATCTTAAGCCCCGGCCCAATCCACTCATTAAGGCGGTGGGGAGAGGGAGAGGACTCGCAAAGGAGCGAGTGAGAGAGAGAGTGAGCGTGAGATTGGAGAGAGAGGCTCTGTAGACCAGAGAGAGCGAGAGAAGAGTAAAAGGGGG